AAACTCATAGCCAAACTTTAGGCAGAGTGCAGGGGATCTTATGAAAGAAGGGGGAGATAGAAAGACCTGGAGGAGACAGGAGCTCCACAAGGATAGCAACAGAACTGAAAAATCTGGGCGATGCTTGATTTTTATGTGGGTGCTTGAGACATGAGCTCAGGTCCTTATGCTTTAGCAACAAGAACTTTATCAACTGAACCATCTTTTCAGTGCTGATACAGGGTTATAGATTTTTAACCATCTCTTTTAAAAAGTAAACAGATTTAATAGTTATTCCCAGATTCACAATTACATGTTAACTTTTATTTTTAATTAAAATGCATCTATATTATTATTGTATATACCAAATAATATTTATATATTGAAAACACATTTTTCTAAAATAATTATATGAGAATTATAAGCCTGAAGGATGCTATCTTCTGTCATTTAATATCATAAGACACTGCCCCTGTCTTAAAGGACTCAATAAAAATTCCAAAATTCTGTAGGGGGTGAAGCAGTAAAAAGTCAGTTTCCTTCGTTTTCTCAATGGTGGGATGTGGAAGAATCATTAACTAAAGTTGTAACCTCAGAATTGGATAAAACTAATTTTTCTTAAAAGGCACTAATCAAAGATGTCATTTAGATTTCTTTTAGACTGAAGCAGTGGAAATGGAAGCACCTAAAATTTAGCCAATTAAAAATAAATATAATAAAAATAAGATAAATAAACAATGTTAATTAGGAATAGTCAACTTGAGGTTGGAGTGGTCATAGGGGTTCTCGAACCCCTGAACTTACTTTCAGAGCTATCCCATAAAGCCTATAAGAAAGTTGGTTCTGTTATTTTACACACTTTTCTCAAATTTATCACGAACTGTTTAATCATGGTCTTGGGTACTTATAGAGAACATTCTAATTAATTCTCAAGCCATCATATAAAGCAGACATCACCATCATGTTCATTCTGCTGCCCTTCATAAAGTTTAGATACAGGCTGTAAGCTGTTTTTTGGGACAACAGGGCTACCAAGTGAAAAAAGGGCCCTAGGCACTGGTTTCCTCAAACAATGCATAACATTTAGGAAAAAAAAGTCCTGAGTGTGAAGTCAGATTTAGGGTCTAAAACAAGATTACTGATACCAAGGGGAGGCCTGGAGAAGAAACAATCCTTCACACAGGAGGAAAGGTCTGCTGGGGGTTTCCTGATGATGATCTTCTAAATCAACTATGATATCCAATCATTCTTCAGAGTACATTTTGCAATTATAGCATAAGAAAACTCATCAGAGGCAGCATCAGGAAAGATAGGGAGTTACCAGAATTATTTTTAAAAACTCCCAAAATAATTACGGAAAAGTCAGTGGTAACTCTTTGGAAAACTTCATTAGGGACTGGGTCCACTGATCTTCCCAGCTTTTTATCTGCGCTGTAACTCTCACCAGCACTTTGGTTTTTGTCCCAGTAACATCATCTTTTTATAGGTTTCTCATCTTAATCTTGTATTGGCATAGCTTTTTAAATTTCTAATCTTTCCAGAATTCTGTTCTTTGCTCAAGTACGTTTTTATCTAAGATTCTGGACAGAGCTGAGCATAGTGCCACATGCCTGCAATCTCAGCTGAAGTAGGAGGATCTCAAGTTTGACACCCACCTGGGTCATACTGTGAGATGTCATCTCACTAAGATTCCAATTAGAGCTATCTCCTTTAATATCTTCCCTGGAACCTATCTATATTGCGTCTATGACATGATTATACAATATGGATGGATATGTTTATACTGTCTTGTGTTACTGGCTAAATTCTGAATTTATCAGAGTAAAAAAATCTCTGTATTGAAGACACTACGTAGAGATGTGATAACTATTTAGAACTCATTACTGAATGCCCATACTTCATAGTTAAAAGCCAGAATGGTAGTAAAACTAATGAAGGTGTTATGAGAAACCAGAAGAAATGAAAGAATCCATAATAAATTGGATCTCCTTTAGCCAGGACTGTAAAGTCCTGAAGAACAGTCAGAAAGAACTGTGAACACTCTCACCAACAAGTGCTCTCAAATAAAATCAGCTGGAAGCAGTTTTCATTAAGATGGATTGAATGTGGCATCGTGAGAAACACTTTATCAAATGTAGTGTTTTACTTAGTGATTAACTATATACCAGCTGATGAAGCTCCCTAAATCCTTTGTAATCCCACCACTCCAATAAACATTTAATGAGTATATAAGTTCAAAAAGCCTAGTAGAGGATTTAAACCTTCAATCTTGTTTTTATTTACTCTAGGAACTCAATTTCTCAATTCAAGTGAAGAAAGCTGGTGCTTGGGGCTCATCTGTTGCCCTGGTAAAATTAACATGCCTTCTAAAGTTTAAATTAAACATGATATTTATGATGAAAGAAATTTAGGTAAAGTGCCACAGTAACAGTCACACTTGCCTTAAAATTTCTGAACATCAGCAAATTGTTTCCTTAAGAGTGAAAAATTAAAAAGTGATTTTTCCTAACTTGGAGACGTGCAATCTGAAAAACATAGCTGGACTTTCATACTTTCATACCACAGCGCAGTATATACAGAGAGGGCTGCATGTGCTGGTCTAGCACAAACCCTGCTGGCCTGGGTGGGAAGGCATGAACTCTTAAATGGCTTCTATTATTTATTGTTGATATGTCTGTAGAAAATTGATACCATTTTTCTAAATTCTCATCTTTTAAATGGGAATATCAAATACTAAGTGTCCCCATCTCATTAGTTTATGACAGTGTTCAGAAAAATGATTTATAAACCCCACAATATCATAGAAAGATAAAGCAGTATTGCTTTTCCTATGTTGTACTCAACAATAATGTGGAAGGAAGGAAGTTGGGAATGGTGGCATATGCCTGAATTCCTAGGACTTTGGCGGTAGAAAAACAAGGACTGGGAGTTCAAAGCTCAAGGATTGGGCTTCCTGCCACTACCAAAAGAGGGTGAAATACAAATATTTGATGACTGTAAAAAGTGTACTGATTTAGATTAATTTTAAACACTTTATCCACCATGCGGTTTTCTTGTGCTCAGAGAACTGTAATAAACTATCCAGTAACTACAAATTGGAAACAAGAAGTAAACAAAGAAAAAAGACCTGACTGAATAAAAAGGGAAGGATAAAGACAATTTAGCAGTCCTGAGAGATTAGTAAGTTCTGATGTGGCTCCAATAAGCAAAACATTTAATTGTACGTGTCAGTGATTTGGCTCTGCTAAAACACCTAGACACTAATAAAAGCAAACGACCAATTGTTTCGTTATAAATATCCAGGAGTTAATAAACAGGAGCTTATATTCCTCTGGAGATTATCAGTCTGAATAAATCTACATGACAATTTAATAAGAGTTCTTTTGTTGGCAATAAACTCCATATTTAAGCATCTGCATTTAAAGCCATAATATGTGAGGTATACATAGAAACTCTTGAAATTGAAAAAGTATCTCTACTTACTGGAGAAATAAAATTTTGAAATTATTATTCATCTTATATTAAGTGATAACTGTATTGTGGTTAAATAGGTGGATTTCATTGCAAAATGCATGCTTAAGTTTTGAGAAGCAATAATTTGCTTTGAAATGGTTTCATCAAAACCTAGCAATATGTAAGATATCCTAAACCTTTCTGTGAAGTTTAAAGTTTTAAATTCCAAAAGATTAGTTGTTATAAACATTAAAAGTCGATATGAAATTTTAACTATTTGTTGATTTAAAATAATGGTTTGTATATGTGGGCTGGGAATCAAAATCAGAACCTCACATATGCTAAATTTACACTCTACCAGTAAGTTATATACTTAGTTCTAAATAATACAGTTTTAATTATTTTCTGCTTCAGTTAATATTTTTCATTTTCAATCTGAGAGTAATTACAATAAAAAGTCTTCACAAAAATGTACTGATCGAGGCAGTAGAAACATGCAAGCTTGGTCTGTGGCACCCATGTTTGCAAGTGAACAACCCATAATCCCTGTGATGGGAAGACAGAGAGAGAAGGATCTCTTTGGCAAGAGTATCCATGCTGTATGTAGTACCTGGCCTCTGGCAATTTGGTTAGAAGCTAGACTGTCACTGCACTTCAGTGCCTGTCTTCAAGTAACCCTTAGTTTAGCCTAAGCAGCAAGACTAGTACAAGAGTGAGATGAGGGCAGTGGTCCCTTCTTCAAGTTACAGGTTAAGGGGTAGGTGGGGCTCCTAGGGCTCTAGTCCACTAGTAAAACTCTTGCCCAGCAAGAAGTAGGCACAATTCACAGCATAGCAAGAACCAACAACTCCAACCACCAAATCACAAAGATAAAACCCATAAACAAGAACAGCACCCGCTCCCAAAAAACAAAATGACACAGCAATCTGCACCTTATCATAGAACTGTGGGAATAGGCAGCCATTACATAAAGTACTCAGGACAGGAGTATGGTGGAATATATTCATTTCTTTTTAGATTTGAGTAATTTGCAGTCTTCATTGTTTGTTTGCCCCTAATTCAAATAACGGAAACTCAAAGGTTTTGAGACTCGTGAGGCAGAAATAAATCTGTGTTCTGGAGCAGTCTGGGTTAGGGATGCTGATCCTGAACTCTTATCTCTACAAGATTTTACACTTGCACTGAGCATCAGCATGTAGTGTTCACAAAGAAATGTAAGCTACTTAAGAAGAAAAAGCACTCTGGGGGAGGACTGAGGAGCTATTTCCATCAGGATGTTTTCATTCATATAACTGATATAAACACATATAAACTGATATAAACGGTATAAACACACAGCTTGGGTACTTGTACGCATGCCTACCAACCCCCTATGCCCAGGTTGTAAGGCCTTCCGCAAGGGCAATAGGCAACATCATATAGTGCCCCAGTAGAACTGTGCCTCTTGGAAGAATAAAAACAAAACGAAGACTTCAATCTTCAAACAGTGAGAAATACCATATACTGTCTCAGTACAACAGTGAATCAGTACAGTACCATTCTAATCAAAATGCTGAGGCATGACTTACGTCTCGGGCTTTCCCATAGAAGGCCTCTTGAAAAGCAGCTTCTAATGAGCCAATAAAAAATACAGGATGGCAGTCACCGTATCTATAGGAAAAATTGTGTATATTAATAAAGAAATGTTTGAAATTCACACAAAAGTCCCACAAGTTAAATCAATGACTAGTATGTATATGTTGTGGCTAATATCTAATACATACAAACACCAAATGGCTTCTTTTAATGCCTGAATGAGATCTGTAAATTTTAAGAATTCTTCTTGGTCTGTACTAATATATTAGAACACTGAAAATCTTACAAATAAGCAAACATATACATATATAATAAGTACTATGAAACTATGCTATAAGAAGCATTTCTTGGTTAACTAATTTCAACAGATTTTGGAGTTATATTAACTTTTTCTCATTTTAGTTCATTTATTTGAGAATTCAATCACAGAAGAGAAAAACTGACTCTTATAAAGTTTCCATTATTATAGTATTACCAGAAAAATAACACTAAAAGAAGAGTATCACTGACATCATAGTGAAAATTGAATAGTCTATTTAAACACTTCAGTAGACTCCAAACTATATAAAAAAAACTCACTAAAAGTCTTTTAAAATTACTAAAGAATACAAAAACAAAAGTAAAAAGAAAAATTCACTTACATTTAAATGTTAATTATCTTTTAATTTACTATTGTGTGAATGATTTTTATTTGTCCTAGGATTTGCTAAACATTTGTATGATATGTACTGGTCCTTTGAGGAAAGTAAGACACTGCAGGAGTGATCCAGCTCTTTAACTTCTATGAAGATACAGGAATAAACTGAACACATTTCTGCATTGCCACAAATGGTTCATTGGTTGCATCACACTGAACAGAATGTATTTCTCTATTAGTACTACATGAAATGATAAGTAAATCCTTTGAATGCTCTTAGGAAAAATTTTAAACAATTTAAATTGATTTTGCACCAAAACAAAACAAAACAAAAAAAAAAATCACAGTAGTATATAAGAGAACATCAATTTTATAGTTAATATCCTAACCCTACCTTGAAGAAAACTCTGCTGTAAATTGTAATAAGGCATCTCCTTCATTTTCTGCGTTTTCTGGCACTAAAAAACAAACAAAAGAAAAAACAAAAACAAAAAAAACAAAACAAATAGACACAAAAAACAAACCACATAACATCTAATCCCACATATAAGAAATATATTTAATCAATAAAGAGGAAATAAAATTAAGTTTAGCGTCTGTGATATATCTGACGGGACACTTTTAACATACATTAGAAGACTTTATCAAGCAGACTAGAAAAGGAATCTTTAAGAAACATCCAATGAATAGATACAATCCTATAAAACATCTAAAGTATGTGTCAGTTTCAACTAAGATTTTGATGTTTTCTTAAAATAGTATCTTGTGATCAAATTACAAATATTTGAAAGTATTTTAAAGAATTCACTAATTGGACAACTGTTGTCTTTACCTAAATATTTTATCAATTTCTGTCAAAAGGAGCCCCTAACTTTACATAAGGATTTACTTTAGAAACCATTTTGTATGTAGCACCCTTGATTATTCTCCACTGCGCATCTCATAGGTGAAAATGAGAAAGACAGCACAAATATTACACTTTCCCTTCTAAATGGACACCAGCAATGAATAAAAGGGTAATATGACTATTCATCTTCACAGTGACATTTCTGACACATGGGGAACAAATACTCGCAACAGAAGTACAGCTGTTTGTCAATCAAGTTCTAAGATAAGAGTAAGTAGAACTGGAACTAATGATACATTGAAATGTTTACTACACACTTCTGTCATTTTCACTAGTGCTGTGGAAATCTGAAGGTTTAGTAAAATCATACCTCAACAGACTGGCTGTAAAAAAAACATGTTCACTTCTTATGCTTCACCTTTCTACACTTAAAGGACAGGAAGGGGGTTTTACTTCTACCGTTCTTCTAAGTTTAATACTAGAAGGCAGAATTATAATGCTTATCCCACAGAGCTACGAATACTCACTCATTGGAGATTTTCTCAGGGCAGATGGTGCTGTGCCAAATACTTCTCCATCATCAACTCCGAATTCGGAAGCATCTTCAAAGTCATCTCCATCACTATCACTAACCATATGAACATCCGTGCTTTGCTATTTAAGGAAAGTCTCGATTAGATTCAGACTGACTTTAACATATCAAATTCTAAAATTATGTAATTGCAGTAAAAACTTCATCAAATATAAAACCATCTAGCAAAGTAAAGCTTAATATTTTTTCAGTTTAAAGATCACACACATTTCTAAGCTAGTTGTGAAACTTGTAGTCTAAACAAGAGTCTAGCAAAAATGAAAAAGACAGTAAAAAGCTCAACAAAGAAAGAGATTTCTGTGATACCCTAGTGTATAGGACATAAATAAGTGTCCAATAATGAGGAAATGGGCTCAGCTAGAAGCTCAGAGACAAACTTAAGCTGCGAGTCTCCCAAAAAGCTCACACTACTACCTGTATCTGGCAAGCAGGGACAAGGCAGCATTCACATTCCATTTCCTTACTGCAGTAAATCTCAGTAAGACAGACATCAGTATGCTATCCTTACACTGTCCTTAAGAACTATATAAAGTACACACCTATGAAATTTCAATGTAAACTGAAGGCTACAAAACATGAAATTTAGTAGCATGTTTTAATTCAGTAAGTTGTTACTGAGGATTTACTAGGGGATAGGTACTGATAAATGTACACTAGTTATCAGCAATATGTTGAAATTTAAGGTATTGAAAATATCAACTTTGAAATAAAAACCTGTTATTCTCTAGATAAGAGAGTATTCTAAGATGTTAAGATTGAAAACATTTGAATTGGGTTATGAGTACCAATAAATGTTCAAACCAACTGAGATGAGGGTACAAGCAAAGCAACTAGCTAAATGGCAATCTTATGTTCAACAAATGGTCCACAAAAACTATTTAGTAAATAAATTTTTTATATGAAGCTGAGTATTATTCTTTCAAGCTCTGTAAAGAATTGTGCTAGAATTTTGATGGAGATTGCACTGAATCTGTAGATTGCTTTGGTTAGGACAACCATTCTTACTATTTTAATCCTACAGATCCAGAAGCATGGGAGATCTTTGGATCTTCTGCTACCTTCTTCAATTTCCTTCTTCTAAGATTTGAAGTTCTTGTCATACAGCTCTTTCACTTGCGTAGTTACACCAAAATATTTTACATTATTTGTGGCTACTGTGTAGGGTGTCGTTTCCTTAATTTCTTTTTCAGCCCATTTATCATTTATGTATGGGAGGGCTACTGATTTTTGTTTTTGAGTTAATTTTGAATGCAGCCACTTTGCTAAAGGTGTTTATCAGCTATAGAAGTTCTTTTGTAAAATGTTTGAGTTCACATAGGTATATTATCATATCATTTGCAAACAGTGACACTTTAACTTCTTCCTTTCAAATTTGTATCCCCTTAACCTCCTTTAATTGTCCTACTGCTCTTGCTAAAACTTCAAGTACATACAAAGAGAGTGGTTGGCCTTATTTTATCCCTGATCTTAATGGAACTGCTTTATGTTCCTTTCCATTTAATTTGATATTAGCTATTTGCTTGTTGTATATTGCCTTTGGAAAAACAAAACAAAACAAAACGAAAAACCTCAGGATATCTAAAGCAATCCGGTACAATACAAGAACTATAGGTATCATCATCCCAGACTTCAAGCCTGTACCACAGAACAATAGAAAGAAAAACTACACGATACTGGCATAGAAACAGACAGTTAGAATCGAATAGAAGAACCAGAAGTAAATCCACACACCTATGGACATTTAGTTTTTGGAAAAAAAAAAAAAAAAAAAAAAAAAAGCCAAAATTATACAATGGAAAAAAAGAATGTCTGCATGTAGCAAAATAAAAATAGATCCGTATCTAACATCCTGCACAAACCCTAAGTCCACGTGGATTTAAGACCTCAAAATAAAACCAGATACACTACATCTGATACAAGAGAAAGTAGGGAACAGCACTGGATGTATTGGCACAGGAGACGCCTTCCTGAACAACAACAGTTCAGGCACTATGAGAAGCAATAAAAGGGGCCTCACGAAACTAAAAAGCTTCTGTAATGCAAAGGACACTGTCAGAAGAACAAAATGGCAGCCTACAGAATGGGAAAAGATTTTCATCAACTCCACATCTGACAAATGGCTAATATCCAAAATATACAAGAATTCAAGAGACTAGACATCAACAAACCAAATAACCTAATTAAAAAATGGGGGATGGATCTGAACAGAGAACTCTCAACAGAGGAATCTCTAATGGATGAGAAGCACTTAAAAGTTAATGTTCAACATCTTTATCCTTGAGGGAAATGCACATCAAAACTATTCTGAGATTCCATCTTATACCCATCAGAATGTCTAAGATCAAAAACTCAAGTGACAACACACGCTGGAGAGGATGTGGAGAAAGGGAAATCTTCCTCCACTGCTGGTGGGAGTGCAAAGTTGTACAGCCACTTTGGAAATCAATCTGGGACTTCCTCACCAAACTGAAATTAGATTTACCATAAGACCTAGCTATACCATTCCTGGGCAGATGCCCAAAAGAAGCTCCACCATATCATAAGGACACTTGCTCAGCTATGTTCAAAGAAGCTTTATTCATACTAGCAAGATTCTGGAAACAACCTAGATGTTCCTTAACCAAAGAATGGATAAAGAAAATGTGGTACATTTATTTACAAAATGGAGTATTATTACTCAGCCATTCAAAACAATGACATCAATGTTAGTATTTTGGAACACAACCTGCTCCTGGGTTACCCAGCAACTTATGATGTCATCATGTGTCACCAGCCAGGTGGCTACACCTGTAAGGCGTGGCTACCTTGCCCCTTAAAGGGCTAACCCCGACACGTGGTCTCTCTCTTACACTCTCTTCTCTTACTCTCCTCTCTTACTTTCTCTCTCTCTCTCGGGGCACCCCTTCCCTTCCTTCTCTCTCTCTCTCTCTCTCCATGTCCTGCTCCCCCCTCCCTCCTAATAAACTTCTTGCAGAGAATATCGGTTAACCAGCCGCATGATTTTTAACAATCATGAAATTTGCAGGTAAATGGACTGAACTAGAAAAGACCATCCTGAGTGACAAACACAGCATAAAATACAGGATAGCCAGTTACAAACTGTAGACCCAAAGAAGCTAAATAACAAGGATAGCCCAAAGAGGTGGTGGTGGTGGTGGTGGTGTTTGAATCAAATCGAGAAGAGGAAATGGATTAAATATTGAGGGGTGTGTGGATTGTGGGAAGGATGGGAAAGGAGGAATGAGGTGGGAGAGGACACAGGGAGAGATGGCAGGGCATCTCTGGGATGAGCAAGAAACCCAGGACAAAGGAAACTCCCAGGAATCTATGAGGGTGACCCTAGAAATGGGGTATAGGGAGCCGAAACCCGCCATCTCCTGGAACAGGGCAAGACTTCCAATGAAAGAATTGAAGCACAAAACCCCAGACCCACAATGTGTCCTGCCTACAGGATGTGCAGGAGTAAATAATGGAGCAAAATTTGAAAAAAAAAGGGCCAACCAGTGACTGGCAGACCCATGAAAAAAAGGAAGCCCACCCCTGACACTATACTAGGAGCTAGCAGGTTAGAGTAACTGTCATCAGAAGGCTTTCTTCAGCAACTGATGGGAAATGGTACAGACCCACAGCCAAACAGTAAGTGGAGCCTGGGTAATCCTGTGGAAGAGTGGGGAGGATTGCAGGAGCCAGGAAGGAGGGTCAAGAACACCACAAGAAAACCTACAGAATCAATTAACCTGGGCCAACTGGGTTCACAGAGACTGAAATGCCAACCAGAAAGCCAGCATGGGACAGACCTAGGCCCTTGGCACATACGGAACAGTTGTACAGCTAGGTATTCATGTGGGCCTCCTAGAGTGGGAGCAGAGCTGTCTCTGACTACACTGCCTCCCTCTGGATCTCTTTCCTCTATCTAGGTACCTTATCTAGTCACAATGGATGTGCCTCATCTTACTGCAACGTGATATGATAAAGCTGGTTGATATCAATGGGAGAACCCCCCCCCTTTCTGAGAAAGAAGGGAAAAGGGGTAGATGGAGGTGTTTAATGGAGAGTGAAAGGCAGGGACTAGGAGGAAAGGAGTGAGAAGCTGCAATCACAATTAGAGCAAATTAATTAATTAAAAAATTTAAAAAAATTTTCCTTCTAAAATATGGTACTATGTACTTAAGTTATAAAATAACAGAAACTATATGTCTATACTGATGAGTTTTAACTTAAAAGCAAATATGTACTAGGAAAATAGACTATTATATTATATGTAGGTGTGTGTGGAAGTATATGTGCCACAGGATGTGTGTAAAGGTTAGAGGACAACTTTTATGAGTCAGTTCTCCTTCCACTATATAGTTTTCAGGCATCAAACTCAGATCATTACATGTGGCAGCAAGTACCTTTATTCACTGAATAATTCTGCCTTTTTTTTTTTTTCTTTGTAGCCATTTGATAGCTGGGTCCTGCTGAAACATCTTAGGATTTTACTTTTATTATAAAAGCCTAACTTTTACATATAATCATAATCCTAACCTTACAGTTTTGTTCTATACAGTCAAGATCTCCTCCTGGTTTAATGTATGCTACACTTTAAAAATTCAAAACTTTTTCCCATTTAAAAAAAATCTTATCTATCTATCTATCTATCTATCTATCTATCTATCTATCTATCCATCCATGTGTCCGTCTGTCTGTCTATCTATCTATCCATCCATGCGTCCGTCTGTCTGTCTGTCTGTCTATCTATCTATCTATCTATCTATCCATGCGTCCGTCTGTCTGTCTGTCTATCTATCCATCCATGCGTCCATCTGTCTGTCTATCTATCTATCTATCTATCTATCTATCTATCTATCTATCTATCTATCTATCTATCCATCCATCCATGCGTCCGTCTGTCTGTCTGTCTGTCTGTCTGTCTATCTATCTATCTATCCATCCATCCATGCGTC